TCAGGTAGTGGTTACATCCAAAAAACCCAAGCTTAAATTTTATTTTGCTTTTTACTCACAATTTTACTCACTCACTCGATTCCAAAAATGCCCTTCCGAGTGACGTGTCACACGACCCATCCCATCTCAAATGACCAATGCGATTTATGACACTTCCCTTGTCAGAAAATGACTTTTAATTTCTTTTTTCGAGCCAAATTTCTTCATATGGAAACCTATTCAAAAAATCCTAACAAAGCTGTTCAGATAAAATGGATGCTCTTGCCATCCTCTATGCATCGAATGTTTGCTGGTGAGTTTCTTCGCTAAAAATGACGTGTGCACATGACTCCGTCTGCACTTCACCACTGACTTGCACCGCTTTGCAGGCTTGTAGCTCGGCCAGCAGTCATTCTACAAGCCTACTAGCCTAGCCTCATTCGAAAGAGCGTAACTTCCGATGCGACACTATGTCAATGAGTTGAGTTTGGGAAGACCCGGAAATTTGAAGGATGGGGTGAGAAAGCTCAGCCTTAAAGGTGATTGGAGTAAAAGCTTTTATCAACCTCAGAGCAGTCTTAGGCCCCGGGCAGACTTCACGCAACTTAATCGTCGCGATCTAATCGCCAAGATTTCCATTCATTTTCATTTCACATTCAAAAATTTCGGGCTGGAAAAGTATCACCACCGAATGCAAGTTGATCGGCATGGAATGATGTTGCAACAGTTGTCTCGTCGCGATTCAGTCGCGACGATCAAATCGCGTGAAGTCTGCTCGGGGCCTTAGAGCTTAGAAATGGATCTATTACAAGAAAATTGACAGTTTCTAACCCCTATGATGGAACTGGTAGCGAAAGGAGCTCTGTTCAACCTTAGCTGAAAGAACCTTAGCCTACCATTGAGGCTATGCTTTTTCACCCCATCCGTCAAATCTCCGGGTCTTTCCAAACTCAACCCATTTACTTATCATCGGGTCGAGGAAATCATGATCTTTCGAATGAGCCTAAGTGCAGGCTCTTAGAATGACCGCTGGCCGAGCTACAAGCCTGCAAAGCGGTGCAAGTCAGTGGTGAGGTGCAGACGGGGTCATGTGCAGGCACTGTCAAAAGCCATTTTCAGCAAAGAAACTCACTAGCACGTCTGATGCATAGAGGATGGCAAAGAGCATCCATTTTATCTGAACAGCTCTGTCGGGATATCTTGAATAGGTTTCCATGTGAAGAAATTTGGCTTGAAAAAGGTAATTAGGTAAATGTGTGCCTGCGCCCGTGTTAGCATCGTGCCCGTGCCGAATGGATGCCCCCACCCTTCCCTTATTAATCGTTTAAAGTGCATGAGCGCCGCTAGCTTGGCTCCGGGACAAGCAACATTGTACGCAGCCTCATGGGGGAGCAGTTGTTAGAGAAAACTTCCGAGGACTTCATAATCAGTTTGGTGTTTATTGGCGTCAAACACTGATCTCGTCACGCAAACATGAGCATCAGTTTACAAAAAAGGATGTGAAGCAGTTTTGATTCTGTGATACGGTTGATCAGGAATACCATGGAATTTGAAGAGTCGTGGAGGAGGAACTTCGAACGGACGCAAGTGTCGCGGCGGCACAACTCTGCGGGTGCTTCTCATCACTGGCAATGTCTGAAACGAATCAATTATGTAAGCAGGTAGTCGACTTTGGAAAACTATGGTTTTCACTCTCCTAGGGTGCTGAGTTCACTATCATGCTTTGTACTTTTGATATCACTGAAAAGTTGCTTTGAATTTCTTCACTTGGCTGAGTGGGTCGGGGGAGTTTCAGCGCAGCTCAAATTATGCGGAGATTCACAGGCTTCATAGATGACGTTTAGGAAAATTTTTTGTTTCTTCCTCAAAGACTTATTTTGACCTGTACGGCAAATATACATTATCAAAATATTATTGTTCGTTTCGGTCCTTTGGGGTTTTTGTTAGAGTTTGATTACTGCGATGACCCAGGTTTGCCCGACTTCAAAGTCAAGGTCCATGTCTAATCTTGCGATCAGGTGGCTGCTTCACACTCGAAACATTCAGAAGATCCGAGATTACAAAAAGTAACATAGAAAAATCCTACGCATTTCCAAAAGCAATTGGATACACATTTATTGTCACTCTTTCAAAAAATTCTGATCGCGTTATTCTTCATGTGTTTGCCATTTTGGGTGCATGACTATTATACTTGGGTAATTCGATAATTTTTCATCGAATGAATGAATATCGAATAAATTCAAAAAGGAAAAATCTCGAATAAACGAATATCGAATTAATTCGAAAATAAAAAATCTCGAATAAACGAATATCGAATAAATTCGGAAAATCAAAAATATCGAATGAATGAATTTCGAATAAATTCGGAAAATCAAAAATATCGAATGAACGAATATCGAATATATTCGAACATTGGAAGTCGAATTTCGAATAAATATTCGAATGATTTATCGAATAACTAAAGCAATCACATCTCAAACTTGCCGATATATCTGGCTAAAGCCGATACAATCATAATCAGCCCCCTAGTATCCCCTATATCAACTCCTAGCTCAAAATTTTTCAAAAATTGCTGAAATCAATAAAATAGTTTTCGGTTTTAATCAGCACCCTCACTTACCCCTTTGTACCAACTCCCAACCTCGTAGCTCAAGATTTCCCAAAAATCGATAAAGTAAATTTTTGTTCATAATCAGCACCCTCACTTACCCCCTTGTACCAACTCCCAACCTCGTAGCTCAAGGTTTTTTTGTTCATCGGAGACTTTCGTCCTGTGTGGTATAAGCTAGTCGTGGACGAAGACATGTGGTTTCCTCCGCGAAGCGAGCACGAATGCCCCTATAACCCCGGGCATACTGCAGGCATTTCAGTGGCTACGTGGTATGGCAACACTCAAATTGTCCAAAACCTATTCTGAAGGTACAGAAGGCAGGGCATTTATCATTTTAGTATGTTGTACACGCTAAACATTTGTGGTAAGCTGCCATTACATCTGAAGACATCTCGTAACTGGCAAATCGCGTACGGCGATCTAAACCGTCTAATCCTGCACTACAACTGCGATGTCCTTTACTCAGTATACACCAATTCGCAAAAAACTCCAAAGTAACGATTAGACAGTTTTGCAATAATTTATGCGAGCAAGAGTGCTCACTACTGCGGGCTTTGCGTACCGCAAGCATGAGCATGCAAAGAAAAGCCATTTCAATTCAGTATGAACTCAGAACATGAGCTTGAATTTGATATCTTCTTTGCTGACTTGGTGCCAATACAGTGCGAACAATCTCATTGATCGAAAAAACATCAATTAAAATCCACATCTGATTTTTTTACTGTCGCAAGCAGTCGGAAGAATGCGACTCTCCATACAGTTCAAAGGTATACCGGTTGCAAAAGATGCATTACCGAGTTTTGCGAAAAAAACGCGGACGAAGTGAGCTTGATACCTAGCAGTTGGCTCTGCAACAAAGTCGAATAATCTGAATACGGAGTACATTCGAATACGATTTCGAATAAACATTCGAATAAAACATTCGAATAAAATCTATTCGAAACCCCGTTTTTTGATTATTCGAGTTTTCGAATAATATTCGAAACCTCGTTTTTTGATTATTCGAGTTTTCGAATTTTATTCGAAACCCTGTTTTTTATTATTCGAGTTTCGATTTTTATTCGAAACCCCGTTTTCTCAATTATTCGAGTTTCGAATATTATTCGAAAATGGAAGAACTCCGAATATCGAATTTCGAATACGAATATATTCGAATGTTTTATTCGAATGATCGAATTTCTATTCGATTCGGACCCAAGTATAATGACTATCGAAAACCTATGGCGAAAAGAAACTCTCATAGAGAGTCTACTGAAGAGTGAAAATCTTCTAAGAGTTCTCCTTCATACAGTACCAACTTATTCAAAAGACGCCTAATGTGACTACATGGTAACGTCATAGAATTTGCCCTGTTTTCAAAGTCCAGAGTCATTTCAAGAGAGTTCTAAGACACATTTAGGACTCACTGAGCTTGTAGAAGTGACAAATGTTCTTGCGTGGATGATTCGTTTTTGGGGAACGCTGCAAACAAACTTGACAATCATTAGTCTTCATGATATTACAATACCTTCTCATCCTTTGTCGTTCTGATGTTCGCTGAATGTTATTGTAATTGCGAGGCTCTGAAGAAGACCGTTTCTTGCGCGACTGCGTTTTCGCATGGTTTGTCACTATAATCAAAACTACTTGGTAGGTTTCTTACAAGTTTTTCATATGTAAATCTAATTTTAGTAATGCTTTAACTACTACGAGTAACGGAGACAAGATTAGAGAAACTTCTTTGATATTGAGAGAAAAAATGAGGACGTGTAGATATCGGATTTTTTGGTTCAAAAATGCTTGAAAACTACATGCATGACGATAAACTGCTAATAGATGCATTAAGATCAAGTTAACGTCTTTTGCGCACTTTCTGCCTTTTGATTTAGATGGAAAATCCAGAAATTCTTCTTTCTGTCGCTCGCAAGAAAATATTCATTAATTTAACGAAATCTTCAACACAAGAATTTAAAAAAAAAGAGCAGATTTTTTATTGGAAAGTTGAGAAAACAAAAGAAAAGCAAGTATAGCTTTTTTCGGATAGAAGCTTTCTCCCCTGTTTTTTCATAATCAATTTTGTATGCTTTTGTCTTGGGCAAAAGTGCTGTTGGTCAAACAGAAATTGCTATTTTTCACTCTATAGCGCGTTTCAAAACTATTTCTGAGGAAGGTGCTTTGGAAGTACATAGTTTTCACAAAGCAATTCGGATTTCTTTTGGGTTTGCAATTAAGAAATGACGTTAACAATTTTGTCGTCAGCGATTAAAAAAGGTCTTTTCACGATTATCAGTGCGTTTTTTACATTGAACCTAAATAAACAGTCAGTGCATGGAAAATGAAAATGACCTGCTCTATTTGGATTCCCAGCTACGATGAACGTTCTAGATTCACTTCGGGGATCTAAAATGTAAACTTTAATCAGCTGAGTATCTTATTTTAACAGCTTACCAATATCGGCTACATTCCGAGTGTCGATAAAAATCTGGATGGGTGTAGCAGGATAACCACCTAAATCATGAACTTACGAAAATATAGTATGAGCAGGATTTGTGAAGTTGGCGACAAGACCTGAGCTTTCCTTAGTCTTCTTTCTTCTTTTCTTTTTCCTTGACCGTCCTAAAAGCCTAACACTTTTCTGCCAACGCAGTAAATGGTTACTATTATTTTACATACCTGAGCGATGCGTCTCGTCCGACAGGTGCGGCAAGTAAGCGCGTCGATCATTAGCATGTGATGGCTCAAAACTTAGTGGTTCCATCGCCGTCCTGAAAGTGACCTGATGCTTGTCATGTACTGATTTAATGAAGAAATGTTTCATTTCGAAATGTTGGAAACTCTAAAATGCAAGAACTTATTTTTTAATATATTTAAATTTGTGAATGTGTAGATAAAAGCCTACTATCACAAATCAAGTTTTCAAAAAGTTTTTGAGTGCTAAACCACAATAACATCCTAATTGGCTAGCCTTGTAGGAATGACTGTGCAACCAACAGCATGCTCTTTTTGGCACTCATTGATATCCTGTAGTCAAAAAAGTAAAGCTTCCTTTACATTTTCTCATATGAAAAGATTTGGGGTGTCCGATTCACTTGATTTTGTCCATCAAAAACTTTCAAATAATTGTTATACGAAATTACAGGTTCTATCATCATCATATTCCAAACTTTCTGAATGTGACTTTATGTTTTTTTATCGAAAAGTCGTAGTAACTCTCACTACTGCGCCAATTTGTCACAAAAAAAAAACAGCTAAAGCACCTTTTATAACCTCAAAATTCTTGAAGCATTTTTCTGAGTGCCAAATAAAGTAAAAAATTGTAGTAGTTTTGAGATACGTCAGAAACGAAATTGTAGTAGTTTTGAGATACGTCAGATGACCGATTTTACTCTGATTTGATATCAAGTAACCTGATATTCATAAGAAAGTCTTAGAAGGTCACTTCGTTGTTGCAGTGTCCGTAGAGCGTTGCTCCTTTCTTACAAATTACAACCTTATTAGGGTGAACGGTAAAAAATGGGACAGCTTAATTTTTATTACATTTTGAGATTTTTTGTCCTCACCAATAACAAGCAGGCTGCAACTCAAACGTCGCTTACATAACCGACCTTCACCTATTATTCTGGCAACACGTTACCGCTCCTCTCTCCTAACCGCACGCGTGGCGTCGTGAAGAACTCCGACAGGGTTTTTAAACAACTCTCAATCTTGCACTGCTATACCATAAAGTCGTAAAGCAAATGACATACCATTCGAAAAAGCTTTTCATGCTCTTTCAAACGATATGTTAAATGCTCAAGATTTCTTTTCAATTTCAGAAAAGAAAGCGAAAAAAAAACCTGAAAAATAGCTATTTTTTGGCGCAATAAAAAAACAAAAAAATCATGTTTTGCCGTATATTTTCCGAAGATAGATAAAATCTGAGATATGTTGCATATGGATGGATAGAGCGTAAAAAGCTCTATCAAAAGGTACCTAGAAAACATGCGTTCACTTGCAAAGAATTGAATAACGCGTATCTTTGTTCTCGAAGCTGATAATGGCCAAATCTCCTGACTTTGAAAGTTGAGGCCACCAAGCCGTCGTGGGTTTAGTGACTGTCCCACCACCCACTCCAGCAGTGGTACTCTGGGTGGTCTCGCATATTTCGCTGCGCAGATACTGCTCAAATTTCATAATTTATCGAAGTGACTAACTTTGCATTTCAGCAAGTATAAAAAATTATTAATTATGGAAATGACCTTATATAGGTATTGTCTGAAAGAGAATAACTTATTCCAATATCTATCAAAATTGGAACATCTAATCACTTCTCTTTCTTGAGAAACCTCCAATTATTTCATAAGTGTCCCATTTTTTACCGTTCACCCCAATACATACCATTTTTTGTTATGAATTTTTATTTTCCAAGGTATTTCAAGGAAAAAAGGTGGAAAAATCAAAATATTTTTTCCGATTATGATTTACCTAATTTGCCCTTCAGAGATGAATTCTTACTTTGCCTAATAAATCGATAAAAAAAATTTTGGTCCAAGAAAGGGCAAAAAAAGAAGAAAGCAAAAGCTATTAGTACAGCATTATTCAAATCACGTGACGAGTAAACAAAACGCTCTTAAGCTCTTAAGCTGTAAGGATAGTGTCAAAGAATTACAGAAGCTCGAAAACTGGACTGGTAGAGAGGCCTTCTGAAATTAAGCTTGTTGAGTTTCCTCACAGAATTTTCTACGTCCGCAAAGACTACCTCATAGCAAGATTTTATAATGTAAACTGAACGTAGAAACCTAATAATCAATTGAGAGAATTATTTACAAAGTACCAAAAACTCCTTGAAAAACACACATTTTAACCTTAAAATCTTATTTCGACCGAGCGGCAAAGCAGAAAATTGTTTTTTTTTCGGAACAGGATACATAGCTCTGGAAAACTCCCGTCTTTGAGAATGAAATTTCTATACTACCTGAAGCTGTAGGAATCCATGGGCAGGGGCTGATGTTTGATGATGTCCAGGTCATAATCGTCGTATTCTGAAATGTAAATATTAGGAAGACAGACTAGTGATCAAAAACATTTACTTGTGCTATATCTTCTAATAGATGGAGCGCTTCTGCTTTCTCTGCGAATGTGGACAATAGGAGATGCATCCCTGCTATTGACCGGGGTCCATCTTTCTAAAAATTCGGACCTTCGTAAGTAGGATGCTATGCACAAGTTAGAACAAACCTGAACAGATCTTTCCCTCTCCACAGATGAGATCGTCCAGTGACCCTCCCCAGCTGCTCAAAGGTGATGCTGAAATTTTGACAAATCTTAGGTGACTCTCTATCTCAAACAATTAAATAGTTGTAAATACACATTGATAATAGAAAAACATACAGGCTTTATGTTCTTTGGTTGTTTTTGATCCCATTGCTGGATTCAAGTGAGGTCACAAAAGATAATGTTGGTCATTTCAAGGATGAGCAGCATGTTCCCTATGCACACCCATTCTCTATGGTGATGTGCATAAAGGATTATCTACAGCGGAAGAAGAACACTGGAAAGGTTTGCGAAGTGGCAAAGCGAATACGCCGTTCGTAAGAGTTTGCCGCCATCGCAATGGAAATCGACATAATTTGAAATTTCATAGCGATTTCTGTAATCTTATCTTTTTATTGGTCGAGAAAATAATGGCGATTCCCTGCTAGCGCGATAGGTCAAACAACCAAAAGTATGAATGGGGTACTATACGATAGAGCAAGCTCTGCAAGATAATCATCAAAAATCCACATAAACGCTCATAATATCGCTGTAAGATTTGCCCTTCAAATTGAAGCGATATATTAGGTCGTGTAATAAGTTCTGTCCCATTTTTTGTTTTAATTTTTTCTTGACAACATTGACTACATTTGAGACGAAGTGTATATGCTTTTGAAGACTCCAGGTCTGCTCCGCTGGCTCATATGCACATTCCCCAAAATAGCAGGAAAATGAAAAAGATTTTTATCATTGGAAGAAAAAATCCAAAGAGCCGAAAAATCAATTTTCGACATCTTTTCTCCTCCAAATTTTTCTCGATTTTTATTGATAAAACTTACTAAACAAGCTTGACAACAACGAAAACAATCTATTAGACTTTTACCCTTATTCTATCACTTTTCGCACATGTTTCCTTCCTTCCACCGGCTATTTGATCACATTTTTTGAAAGTCGGCAAGGCAAGACTTGTCACGGCGATGTTCGCCGTCTCGCGTACCCAAGCTGTTGGCTCCCAAAATTTGAATTTTGAGTATTTAACCTACGAATTCGATAATTTTGAACCCACAAACCATCCCTTCTGTCTCTTCTGGATGATCCGCCTACCGTCTTCCCTTAGGATGCCTTGAGATGATGCCCAAAACCAACGTTGAAAAGGCGTCAGAAAGAGGACTTTTCTAAAGCCTACAGAAATGACTTTTAGAGAGTTTCAGCACTTTTGAAGAGCAATAGAAGCTAGAGCATTCTTTTCTTACGTGTAGCAGATTCTTCGAGCTTATTCGTAGGCATTCTGACTAATTAGGAAGGCGACGTAACGCAGTTGTCGAAAATGGACTTTTTCCCTGTTTGATTTTCCAAATTTAACGCTGTAAAACTTTTTCAAGTCATCTGATGTAGTAAATCGAAATGAAAGTTTTAGTAGAGAAGGCTTATAGCTTTCAAATGCATGTAAACAATTTACAGAACATCGCGCAAAATATTGAGAAAACATCGAAAGAAAAAATGGGACAGAACTTATTTACACAACTCGATAGTTTTGCATTCATCACAATCTTGCATACGATTAAACTGTAAGCTTTCCCTCAACTTTGTCGTTATCAATGCTTGCATCTTTGTGCATATTTTTTAATTTCTTTTTATGTTTATACTACAACTCAGTGATAAAATCATGTTGCCTGCGAGCAGGAACCGAACAGGCAATGACCTCTGCTTATGAAGAGATAGTCAGCTAAGCCCAGCTGTGTATTGGACTTCCTATGCCATTCAAGTAATACTTTTGCGGCTTCTCAAATATTTTATTTTCGTATCATTGTAAGCTCCTTGACATCATTTGCATTTCTACATTGGTACATTACGGAAACGCGATTTGCACTTCACATCGCAGCCGGTACGGTCAATATGATGCTTGTTGTCATCGCCACTTGCTCTTGTACTGCATACGCAGCGAGAGCATTCAACGAGGAGAGATGCGCACAAAGACTTGAGACTGGGAAATGCCGAAGAAAGGGCAGCTACGGCGTCTCCCAAAACAAAGCCGGTGATGAACCTAACCAAATCGTGGCGTGGCGACCAGGGCCCGCACGAACTTCCTCTCTCCTTGAATTCTTCTCCATCGTGTTTGATTGCCATGTTGCATTTCCCCGTAATTCATAACCTGAGCCGCTAGCTCGCCCAACGCTGGTGCTATTGCAATCATACAATTCCCCGTGCAATCAATATCTGTGCAGTCTTATCCATAACTAGCTGGCTTGCCCGGCTCCGCCCGGCCCTGTCAAAAACGATAAAGGTTCCATTTCTATCCCTGTACACCTTTACCTGTGCCCACTTTCTACATGCAATTCCCTACTCCCGCTGTGTTAGTAATCAGTATGCTCACCTACCTTCCTCACCAACCCCCCAACCCCGTAGCTCAAACCTTGCAAAAAAATCGATAGAATCGATAAAAGTAATGGACGATGTTGAAAACTAATATTGTGTTCGTAAACAGCATGCCCGATTACCCCCTGTGCAAGCTCCCAGCCCCGCAGGTCAAACTTTACAAAAAATAGATAAAATCGATAAAAGTAAATGATAATTCTGACTAATATTGTATTCGGAATCCCCATGCTCACTTACCCCCCTGTGCCAACTCTCACCCCGTAGGTGAACTCTGCAAAAAAAATCGATAAAAATCGACAAAATCGATATCGATCGATGATGTAAAGTAGCCTATGACACCCGCCGGGGCCCGAAGTATATGTGTGCAAGGTTTGGTCTGGATCGGTTCAGAAATGGAATTTTCTATTCGGAACATACGTACAGACAGACAGACAGACATACAGACAGACATACAGACAGACAGACAAACAGACATTCAGCTTTATATATAGGATAAAGTGCACTTTTTGCGAAGCGGTTGAAAGCCATTATTCCGACTCCTGCGCAGCTTAACGAAACGAACAGACGACGCACGCTCAGAGCGCAGAAGAACTGCGATCTATGCCCCGAAGTCTTTTGTAGGGGCAGAGGGACTGCAAAAAGCCCAATCTTTCTGCATCCACTGCAGGAGTTATGCCATCATTCGGCCGTTTGTGATCTCTCCGACATAAGCACCGACATCGAAGCGCGCCTGACAAGCGCAAGGAAGCTTGGACGCGCACGGAACAGAACGTAAGCGAACTGGATGACGAGCTTGCTTATTACGCAGATGCGGCACCTCAGCAATCCCCTGCGGGAGTGTTGCGGTAAGATTCGCAATCTTTCAAATGCGATACATCCTTATGCTTACCGAGTGTCCTTCAATAAGATTTGGGCCCATTGTCTGTTACATTTGTTAGCATTGACAAAACAGCAGTAGTTGGTGAAGGGAATTCTGGAGATGAGCGTACCGCTCCGCAGCGTAGGCCCCTGGGTCTTCCCCTATAGTTTCGTATGTCCCTCTTTTATATTGGTTGGACCGTTATCAGATTATTCTCAGCTATGCTGATTGAAGAAATCTGTCATCATCAGCGTATGCCAGCGGGGATATCGTTCCCTCTTAGGCCCCGGGCAGACTTCACGCGATTTGATCGTCGCGACTCAGTCGCGACAAGACAACTGTTACAACATCATTCCATGCCGATCAACTTGCATTCGGTTGTGATACTTTTCCAGCCCGAAATTTTTGAATGTGAAATGAAAATGAATGGAAATCTTGGCGATTCAGTCGCGACGATCAAATCGCGTGAAGTCTGCCCGGGCCTTTACACTTCATTCAACAGAAACCGTAAGCTTTCCCACAACTCGCCTATGCTTCCATCTTTGCAGCATGTTGTATGCACGTAGAAACCGAATAACATATATAGGGACCACATATACAGGGTGTCATGAATCCCCAATTCATGATTTGTTACAATGTCGATGTGCGTTCTCACAGTGACGGGAAATGTTTAACATTATGTTTTGAGAACAGCAATAGCTCTTAAGGGGAGCCGAGGGAAACGGGAGGCAGGTAAGATGGGCAAGCTGCCTCGTCCCTGACAGGCGAGGAACCTGGCAAATGGCAAATCACACTAGGTAAGGCAACTCAAAATCATAGAAACATATGTCTTTGTCATTGTGCAAGTTGTGAATAAATATTTTACTTGTGGATCGTAATTCATCTAAAGAAATCGTACTGGAATAGTACGAACACAGGGTGTCCCAAAAAATGTTTAGAACGTTTGATCATTAATATTTCTCTTCCCAAGAAGTCTTTTGCCTTGCTTCAGGTACCGTTTTGTAGAGTTGGCTTCAACTTAGATTTCCATTATAGAACGAATCACCCATCTCTCTTCATTACTGTAGGATTACGGTAGAAACTTGAAACACATGGTGTCAATGTGGAAAAAGCTGCCGTTTCAAAATTTTTCAAAAAATTGTGAAAACTTGTGTAATAGGGTTTTTATAGACGCTGAGTTCAATACTCAACTATTCACAAGATTCCGAAGCTTTCTAAATGGTGTAATCGCACTTTTTAGGAACATTGAAAAAAAGGCCGCTACCTCTCACCTGGCATACTCTTCAATGAAGCATCATAATAAGTTGGGAACTTTACAGTTATAATCAGCAATTCTAATTAGCCTGGTGTAAAAGTCAGGCTGTTTTGTTTGCTTTCTGAGGCAAAATACGGCCTTTCATGGTTCAATGCCCTCTTTGAAGTTTCTACCGTAACCCTACAGTTGAAGAGAGATGGGTGATTCGTTCTATAATGGAAATCTAAGTTGAAGCCAGCTCTACAAAACGGTACCCGAAGCAAGGCAAAAGACTTCTTGGGAAGAGAGATATTAACGATCAAACGTTCTGAACATTTTTTTGGGACACCCTGTATATGTGGTTTCACTTACCGTATTTTTGTGCATTGTATCGCATATCATGCATATATCGCATATTGTCATTCATTCAGTTATCCAAGTTTGAGGTATTCTATAGACTGGTTTATGCAAATGGTATTAGTGACAGCTCGAGAAACCCACTGGATTCAATAACTAAATTTTGAGACCGAAATTTAACAATATTTACTCAAAAGATAGGATCTTTGTCTGAGACTTCGAGGTTAGGACTTCTACGCGACTCTCACTTAGTTATTATGTGAACGCATGGAACATTCATAAATACTGCGTGGATTTTTCTCGGAGCAAGAAATTGAGAAAAAGCAATTGGCCAGAAATCAAAGAT